AAAACTGAATTAAAAACGCATGTTAGAAAAATTTCTCAATAAAAAATAGTTGAATTTTTATTAAAACACAAAAAAAAAAATGACCAAACAAAAAACTTGAATTTTGGCATAATTTAATTTTGGGCAAATGAGGCTTGGTTTAAAAAAAATATTATAACAAAAAAAAATATTTGGAAAAAAATTATAAAAAAAAACAATAATTAAAAAAAAATAATATAATAAAAAAGAAAAACAATAATAATGATAATAAAAACTAAAAATAAAAGCGCGGCTTTTTTGAATTACATTTTCCTTATTTACTTTGCTAATTTTGTTTTTGTTTATTTTATTTCTTTGTACACATTTTAAAAATTTATCTATAAGCTATTTACATATCTAAATACATAAGACTGCTGCATATTTTCTTTAACTGTGAAGTGAACACAAATTTTTATTCTGCATGTTCATTTCATATTATATTAGCCCATATATCATGTATATATATATATATATACAGTATATAATCCTATATATAGCTATATATCATAAAAATATTTTTAAGTGAAAAGCTTTGTTGTTATATGTTAAATGATGTAGTCGACGTCAGTTTGTCTGCACGCAACAATTTTTATTATTCCTCATTTTACATTGTATCTGTCTATCGTTGTTGATATAATAGATAGAAAAAAAGCTTATTATTGTTATGTCAATGAAATCTACTTATACCTTCTGTTTTTTGAACAATTTGATTAGTTACCATGAGCTAATGTTCGTAATATTGGATATGTCTCAAATCATTGTGGCATTCGGAAAGGTTCTATTTAATATCTACAAGCATGTATGTACTTTTTTGTCATATATATGTTATGTAGAGAAACTTCAGTCTTTCAGTTACAACAACTAAGAAAGTATTTTTATTAGAAGTAACCAAAAAAACAAACAAAAAAAAAGGATTGACAAATGATTGATATTTATTAGAAATTGTAGAAGAATAAAACTTAAGTGATTTATATTATTGCTAAGGAGTTTTCAAAGTAAGTCAAAATACTTAACGTTTATTTAAAAGAAACTTTTTAGATTTAAAAATTATTTTAATATAATACTAAAATAATAATAATTATTTTAATATAAAATAAGTAGAAATTCTCCAAAATGAGTATTGGTAGTGACAATTTAAAATATCTACAAAATTCACAGATCTGCTGCCAAAATTCTGGTGTTGCGTTTTAGATAATAGTCATAAAATTTAGTCATAAATAAAAACAGTCATAAAAATAGTCATAAATGTTATTTCTCTTAAAACTGTTAATAAATTTGATATCTTGAGTATAATCTCTCCTTAAAGTTGTCGTACTTGATTTTTAAGTTGATATCTGAAGTGAAAATATTACATGCGTATAGTATAATAAATAATATAATAAACAGTTTCTTTAATATTTAATAATAATAATTCATTAATTAATATTCTTTAATAATTAATTTTAATTGTTTAAAAAAAAATCTACTGTAGTGGTGTTACTTACTAAAAGAAAAAATTGACATTTGAGTTTATATAGGTTTGCCGGATTTTAAGGCGTTTTTGATATTTACGATATTTAAAAACAAATTGAATATCATCTCATAGAGCTATAAGACAGTACACCAGTTTTTCCAAACTCAAATATCGCTTTGGATTTGAAAGCGATGGAAATATATGGATGGTCCTTAAATATATGAAACGATATGTCGTACATGTAAAATCGTACATAAATTATAGGAACTGTAAGTGCACTTACGAATATATGAATAAGCGAATAGTTCTTTTTATGTAGCTCTGAAGGTATATGCGTAAACCGATAGGCTGCCCTACTTAGCACTATCTAATCTCAGAGTAATCACTAATCGCACGGAGCGGTACGCAGATCTTAGATCAGTCATTGAATAATCACGAGACTTATGAGGAATCCACAAATTAGTCAGTGAGATGGGTGGGTCTCTGCAGAAAATCCGCAGCTATTAAAGAGTAAAAGTGCCCAGATGCATTAATTCAGAAAAGGCTCAACATAACTTAAAAATATGTGAATTAAGGACTTACATTTTTTTTTAATTCATTTGTGAGACAAAACGGGGTTCGTAAAAATTTTACCAGAACATTTTGTCATTGTATATACACATTGTTTTAAACTGTTATTGCTTTGAAGAAGATAAAATACCGGCTTAAGTAAGCTTGTTTGGTACACACCACTAGAGTTTTTATTGTTTTATGTAATAATTTTATATCATATATATACTTAAGGTATACAATTTTTTTGAGAGAAATGTTCAAAATTATTGTACTATGCATATACTCGTACGCAGAGAAACTGTTTATTCCTCATAATCCTCACTGCAGAAGTTGTGTAAATACGCAGGAAAAATAAAGTATAATACATTTTCTATGTAAATGCCCGGCTTTGGCGTCCAGAAGAAATAGGTTTTTAGAAAGATACTTCTTTGACAGTTTATCAGACTGTTTATCGGTGAAGACGAGAGACCTATTAAATTATTTAAATTTAACAGGATGGATTTAATCTATACTCTTCTATATTTGGAATTTTTGTGAGGAATGTGGTAGCAAAATGCGAAAAATCGCTTACTGAGGTACAATTAACCAACAATATACATACTCGTATAAGATAAAAAAATCGGACATATATATTTCAGAATGACTAGTTTGTTAAATAATTTTGAGTACTTAAAAAAAAAAAATTAAATAAAATTAATTTTGCACAATAAATAATGTATTATAAAATAATATTACTAACTCTGCAATGTCTTATTTATTGCTGTTTTGAAAAATTAAATATTTACAATGTCTCTTAATCATTTATGAAACTATTACTGATCCTACAATGTCTTATTTAATGCTATGTATTGGTTTTTAAAATTATATATTTATAATGTTTACAAAATATACAATCATAATACATGTGTTATATACCTATTGTGCAATATATATTATATATATTAACACAATATGTAATTTTTTTTCAGAGCTTATGTTTGAACAAGAAAAAACTGTGCCTAACCCTAGTTTAAAATAATAATATTTTTTAGTATTTTTAATATTTTTTATTATTAGATAACATAATTTTATACATTTTCAATTCGCTTTTTATTTTCATATTTTGATGTATTTTATTTAAAAATTAATTTTTTTCACTTGTAAATTTGCATTAAATTAATTTTTTGCCTTCAGGCCTTCAATGCCGTCTTTAAAGCACTACAAGGGACATTTGCGTCGAGACTTTTTCGGTGATGTAGCAGGGCTGATTGGAGTGTAAGTGAATGGTTGTAATATTTTTCAAAACAAGTTGTAATTTTATATATTTTTTTTCAAATAGTCATGGCAAAAATTGGGAACTCTTTCGTCAAGAAGTGCAGCAAATTTTATTACAACCTCAAACTGCTAAAAAATATATACCACCACTAAATGATATAGCTACAGAGTTTATGAGCAGGTATAGTTAAATTTAAAGAAAAAAAAAATTTTTTTTTTATAGTTGTGTTTGCATATCTATTAAGAAAACAATGAAGATTTTAATTAAACACCTATTGTAGAGTCCATGAAATGCGGAATGAAAATGACGAACTGCCAGCAAATTTCCTACACGAACTATACAAATGGGCACTTGAATGTGAGTTTCTATAAAAGTCTGCAATTTATTTACAAAACAAAAAAAAAGACTATTCATACTGCATTTTGTTGCATTTGTACTTTAGCTGTTGGACGTGTATTTTTGAACACACGCTTGGGTTGTTTAACACCGAATGGCAGTGAAGAGTCGCAACAAATAATTGATGCCATTAATACATTTTTCTGGGCTGTGCCGGAGCTTGAATTACGTATGCCACTTTGGCGTTTCTATCCGACAAAAGCATACAGAAGTTTTGTGAAGGCATTGGATAGTTTTACTGAGTAAGTGACAAAGTGATTTAATGCAATTAACAATCATTTTAATGTTTCATTTTAATGGGAAACATTAAAGAGTGTGTATGAAAAATATAAGTCGTACTATGGATAAATCCGAATCTTGCGTGACACCAAAAGATGAAGCCGATATCTCAATCGTTGAGAGAATTGTAAATAAAACTGGTGACCGAAAATTGGCTGCTATTTTAGCTTTGGATATGTTTTTGGTTGGAGTTGATACGGTATTTTCACTGTGATTTTTATATAAAGAATATATTAAAAATTTTTCAAATTGTTTCAAATTGATAGACATCGGTTGCAGCTTCATCAACCATTTATCAATTGGCAAAAAATCCTGACAAACAGCAAAAACTCTTTGAAGAACTGAAACAAGTATTTCCTACACAGGAAACAGAAATCAACCAAAACGTACTCGAACAAATTCCATACTTAAGAGCCTGCATAAAGGAAACATTAAGGTAATTAATTTCGATTGGTTGATTTATAGTTATATGATTTTTTTTTTTTTTATAAAAATAATTGCAATAATTTTTTAATTACATAACTGTAGAATGTTTCCAGTGGTCATAGCGAATGGCAGAAGTTTGCAGTCAGATGCTGTCATAAATGGTTATCACATACCAAAAGGTGTAAGTATGCCAATGCCAGCAACATTGTATAATTTTATTTTATTTAATTCAATCAATATCAGAAAATTTGAGTGTAAAAAATATAAAGTAAATTGCTAAAATTTACATTTACACAAAAATAACTACACATTGAAACTGTGCTCATTACATAGTTCAGTTTTATTCAACTTATAGCATATATGTACCCTACACCCCCTCTATTTAAACAATTCTGTATTAAAGTACATAAGTCAAACATTGAAAATATCCTCATAACATACTTAATTATTATTCAATTTATATTAATTATGCATTTAACATGCCCTCACTTCCATACCGCATACTACAACTATCCATTAATATAAAAAAAAGGAGAAAGAAGCCAAACTGCCAACTAATAGCACCAAAAAAAATTCTAAGTGCAAATAAAAAAAATGCCTACATTGAAAAAAAAACGAAAATATTAAAAAAATCGCCCATATAAATCTATTGATCTGGCTACAGTTATTTTTGAGGTAGTCCTATATCGTCTACTTTTAGAGTATGTCCAACCCATTTGGATTATTTTTTCTCGAACGTATACACAACTAAAGTAAACACTGATATTCTGAGCTTTTTGTCATAAGAATTTTGTCTCGAATGTTTGGATATTGCTCAGTTTATTTTTCTATACAGGTCGGATTTTTAAGACCTACAATGAAGTTGGCTCTACCAATGATCGGTGTACCTGCAACTTCGTTAATAAGATTGCTTATTATCACACACAATAAAGAACTTCCAGTTGTATGTTTTCAAAGTATTAATGACAAAACACGTTTCAAAAATTTTAGTTGAACTTATTTCATAGTATTAATGAAGTAATGTGCTCAGAGAATTTAACAGAGTTTACATGTTCTATTATTTTGCTGTTGAAGGATAACAGTGAGAATAACTGCTACTCAGATTAGCTACTTGCATAAATTTGGTTTCGTTATAATTATAATTATTTACTAAGGATTCTATTCCATTCATTCTTATTTTCTTTCGATTAAGTACACCACAGTGTGTTCCTACTATATCATTCGGGAATACTGGAGCTTTGTAATACCAGTTTTACTTCGATAGATGTACCAGTTCTCTACTTTAATTTTGGCTTTTATATTTTATATTTGAATAATATCTATAAACGTAAGAAATGGCATAGGCTAAATGAGTCTATAAACGTCTACAAAGATCATAATCTATCTATAAACATTAGATAGATCATAGGCTGAGTGAGTCGTCTGGTTTTAAACCTTTTTGTATTTCAAACACTTGCATTAATTTTAACTAAACTATTGACACAACAGTTAGTGAACAAAGATCAAAATTAAGGATATTTTGGTACATTTATCAAGTTATTTATTTATTCTTCTTTATTAATATTTATTATACATTATAATTTTTAAACATTGGTTTAATATGGACTTCAATTATTTATAAAAATTTGTCTTTTAAAAGGTTTAGGTTGGTTTTTTTTTGGTATATTAATCAGGTAATAAAATTTTATTTAATTAAATTAATTTAATTTATTTTTTTTCTTATTTATTAATGTTTATAATATATTATAATTTTTATTATTATTGGTATTAAACTCAAATATTTATAAAGCGTTGGCTTCTAAATGGTTTAGTCGGTTTTTTGTATATTGATCAGGGTAAAAATTTTATTTTATTTAATTAATTATTTATATTTTTTTCTTATTATAAATATTAATAATTTATTATATATTACAATTTTTTATTAATATTGGTATTTACCCAATTATTTATAAAAATTTGCCTTTTAAACGGTTTAGGTAGTTGTTTTTTATTTTTACATAATATTTATTTTTATTTTTTAATTTAATCTTTTTGAAAGTACTTATATAAAATAAGAATTAACCCATTTATTTATTTAATACTGCTAGATACGGCTTAAAGTCCAGAAAAAAGACTACCCTATATAAATTCAAAATTGAATTTTTCCATTTAATATTAATTATTAAATTTTTTTTTTCATTTTTGAAGACACATGTAATATTTCCGCATCTGGTCGTTTCCAATGATCCTGCATATTTTCCTGAACCAAAACGATTTATGCCCGAACGTTGGATGAAACAATTTGCACCATGTAAGTGTCATAATAAATTAATGATATAATTACTACTCAAACAAATCAATTAAATTTTAATTAAAACTATCATTATCTAATAGCCACAGAATGTCCGTATGCAGGACAAAAAATTCATCCTTTCGTGAGTCTGCCTTTTGGTTTTGGACGGCGTATGTGTGTGGGACGTCGATTTGCTGAAATTGAATTAAATACGCTGCTCGCCAAGGTAAAGCAACATTTGCACTAACATATCATAAAAATACCAACAATTTAATTACATTTAATCTGTTTACAACTTTCACGCACATTTCAGATATTTCGGAAATATAAAGTGGAATACAATTCCGGTGAATTAGTATACAAAGTCAACTCAACCTACATACCAGAATCACCACTAAATTTTAAATTGACACTCAGGCAGGAATAAGCAAATAAAAGCATATTGCAATAATATATATTGTACGAATGAAATTAGTTATTATAAGGTATTTTGTATTTTAGCACTTTTATTTTATTATATTTATATATGATTGAACGGTAACTAATGATTTTAAGACGGTAACTAATGCATAGATATAAGATTATTGTTTAAATGGAACCATTTTGTGTATAAGATAGTTTAATAAAATTCTTTTGTAAATATAAATATAAATGTTATAATAAAATCACTTACTATTTAGCGGAATCATTTAATTGATATTCGTTGCTACGTGAGAAGCATTCTTGAACACCAGAATCTTGCCACAATCTTTTCATAGCAGCTAGAAGTTCCTCTGAAAAGGGTTCCGTATCATGCATACGTTGACATACATCAAACACCATTTTCGCGTCGCTCTTTAAATAACATGCAACATTTAGTATCTTTATGTATATAGGTTTTTATAAACATCTAAGCATTACACATTATGTATACGTTGACATAACATATTACATAGGTATAATACTTATGCATTTAGTATATGTGTAATTAGTAGATACTTACTTCTCGCTCATTATTGCTATACTGAATACTGAGGTTTGGCATTGCTCTAAGTATTGCAACTAATGATTGTATTGTGTTGCTGTACACAACTGGCCGATACTGTTTGAAATCTTCCGGAGTAAACCCGCTCTCGTGGATAATTTTCATTTGTTTAACTATTGTGCTTTTGCCAGATTCACCAGCACCTTAAATAAAAATAAAATATTGCAAGTTTAAACA